GTACCATGAAGCTCATACATGTCGTCAATGATTGTAATTAATTCACCAAGTTTTACTATCCATTTTCGACAGAACCAAAATTTTGGTTCAAAAGCAAATCCAACATTCCAGAAAAAAATTTCCACTAATCTATCCCTTGTAAACCCCATCATCTCTACTAAATTCATATTTTCGTGCCACCTAAGAAAAGAAGAAAAAAGGTGAAAAATATAAACAAACGGGTAATGCTAAATGACCAGAAAATTTGGCTAGAATTTTTAAAAAAATTATAATATTTTTTTAATTTTAAAATAAACTAATCTTTTTTTCATTTTTTAGTTAAAATGTACTAAAGTTAAAAGGATAAAAATATTTAAAAAGGTAAAATATCATTCTGACCAAATTCTGGCCAAAAGAATTTTTCCTATGTTTATTCAAGTTTTTTGTTAAAAAAGAACCTAATTAAATGAATGTAATAAATACAAAAAATAAGTACTAACAATTCTCTTGAACTTTAAATGATATACTTATTTTGAACTAAAATAAGTCCCAACAATTCATTTAATATGAACTAGAGGAAGTACTCTCTGTCCAACAATAGTTGTTCATTATACTATTTTGGAATGTCCAACAATACTTGTCCACTTTATAAAATTAATAGACAATTTTACACTGAGTTCCTAATTTACACTTATCATTAATTATAGTTATTTTCCTATTACATTTTTCAAGACATTGTATTTATTATATTCAAAGGGTGATATAGTAAAATTACCCTTTTATTTATAGTTTCTTAAGAGATGTGTCAAGTCAATAGTGAACAACTATTATTGGACAGAAGAAATATATATATATATATATATATGACTAACCTTGAAAGCTGTTTTAGTTCATCCAAATATATAGCTTGGAGCATATTGAAATCCAATTTAGCAAGTTGAAGTAGAATGGGGTTAAAACATTCTGATTGTTCATACGCATTATCTATGAACCATCTTGCCTCTAGTCTCTGCACCTTCCAATGTAGTGGCATTTACAAAGCATGGCTCACTTGTTTAACTAGAATGTTATTCTCATCATGATCATCCATTTTTTGCTTTAGATATTTCTTCATATTATGAGTGGAGAATTTTTGTGCCATGTCCATAATGCTTTCATCTTCAATGGAAAGGTATGAAGCTTCATACAAACTAAGCACCCCGGCCCTTTGATATTATTCATGCAAAGGATTTCTTTGAACTGCCTTTCTCATCCATAAATATACTAAAGACCTCTGTAATTAATTAATTAAGAACGAAAAAATAAACAGGGTCAATTAAGAAAATACTATCTGAGATCTTCAGAAATATATAGAGTTTGATTTCTTATTTGGTCACTCAAGTACTAATACTCTCTAATCTCTTTTTCAATTTACGTGACACTTTATTTTTTAGTCAGTTTCAAAAATAATGATGTATTTCTATATTTAGTAACAATTTAATTTTAAAATGTCAATTTTTATCATTAAATGAGATGATTTGTGTTGGATTTATTTAAGAAGCCTTAAAAGAAGAGGTATTCATTCTTTTCTTCTTTAAGAATTTCTGATTTCTGTTTTTTTAGTAGTAATATATATTTTCTGGTTTGAACACAGTATACTACTCCCTTCCTTATGTCCCTAATTACTTGTTCATTTTTGAATTGATACACCAATTAAGAAAATAATGATTGTTATAGTGAATTTATCATTTTATCCCTATTAATTATGAAGTGGATGAATTAAAAATTTAAGATTTTCGAAAAGTTTTACCTTTTTTGAAAATAATTAATTGAATGTATAATAAGTAAAAAAAAAAATGTCAGCTCTTGATTTGTCAAAATGGACAAGTATAAAAGGATAAGTAAAAAGGGAAAATTAGGCAAGTAATTAGGGAAAGAGGGAGTAACAATTTATAGCTACACAAATACTTATAACTTATTTTAGCTCACAAGTTTCAAAAGTCTTTTTTTTTTAACTTCGTGTCAAGCCAAACATCACATAAATTAAGACGCAAGGAATATATAGTTATTATATCAAAAAAACAAGTTTTCCTTGTTAAAGAAAATTGAAATTAATAAGAAAAATAACTTTTAAAGATCAAAATTATTAATTGTGCGATATCTCAGAAATCATGTCATGCACGTACCTTGAGGAACTTGATAACCTTCTTGTCTGAGGAGTCAAAATTGGAGTACTCCATACAAGTAGTGGCGGATCCAGGATTTAAAAGCTGTGGTGCTCACTTCCTTTAACATAAATGTAACATCCGGCAATTTGAAATAACTATGAAGAAGCTGGAAATTTGAAATAGTCATTTTTGGAAAGAATTCAAAAATCTGGAAATTTGGTCAAGTATGGAAAAAATGAGTTTTTGGTCAACTTTGAACAGTCATAACTCCTAGATCAGGATGATTTAGGTGAATTTCCAGTTATGTTTGGAAAGCTCTTGGAATGATCTTTCTAACGCCGCCGAGTTTGCTCGATTCCGAGTTCGTATGAGTGAGTTATGCCCTTTGGAAGTTGGATTGTTGGCATAGGGCAGTTTAGTCCGAATTTGTAAGGGTATTTTGGTCTTTTCCCTAACCATTTCTTTTGGTTATATTAAGGGTCTAGACTAATTTTAATTCAGTTTTTCCCTTTTAAAAGTGAGAGTTAGGGTTCTTGAGAGAAAAGGAAAGAAGAGGAGAAAGTGAAGAAGAAGCAAAGTTCGTCAAGATCGTCGTGGTTTTGGTCGGGGGTGATCCCTCTTAAGGTATGTGAGATCATAGTGTTGGATTGGTTCATTCCCCCACACGCCAAACTCGTTTTAATTTCCGAGAAAAGTTTTGGTTGTGTTTGTTGAAGCCTTGTTGTTGTGGTTGTTGAAGTCTTGTGATTGTTTTGAAGTTCTTGTTGATTTGGGACATGTTTCCGGTTGTGTTTCTGAGTTGAATCTATTTTATAGTAAGGGTCTTTATGATTCTAAGTGTTTGGGGCTGGAACCTTTGAGGTTAAGGTGGTTTAGAGTTGGAAAAAGGAAGGAGAAGAGTCGAATTTTCGGGGAAAAAGGCTGGGGCCTCGCGCCAGCTAGCACGCCCCAAAAGGGACTCTGAAGTCCAGCACTTGGGGCAATGCGCCTAGCAGAGCGCCCAGCAGGCCCCTCTGAGGTCTGTAGGCTGGCCCCCGTGCTTCTCAGAGCGCCAAGGACGCCAAGTCTTCCTCATTCTTTCCCCACTTTTTCATACATGTTCCTTGGTAATGTACATATGTTTTATAGTTGTTTTCAACACTCCAAGGTACGTCTAAACGTCAAGAATTCATCCATAAACATGAGATTATTACCCTTGAATTCATAATCCAATTCGAGGAAAGTTCGGATCAAAGTCAAGTGAAGTTAGAGTCAAGTCTAGAAGTTAAGAAGTAAGTCAAAACAAGTCTTCAAAGTTTTTCAAGAGTCTTTGTTGAACGTTTTAACTTCACTTTAAGGCTCAAGTTTCAAGTTGAGTAAAGAGTATAGAGTTGAGCTCATTTCTCAAAAGTATTAGGGAATTAAGTATTCCCAAAGAAGTTTATAAATGTTTTCACATTTGAGTAAGAAAGGAACTATGATTCCAAAAGAGCCTTTGTGCTAGTTTTCAAGAAAAGGGAACATCGATTCCAAGTGAGCCTTTGGGCTAGATTTTGAGTAATTATCTCAAACTAAAGAAAGATGTGTTTAAAACACTCATGAGCTAAAGTATTTTGGGAGTAGTATTGAGCACCGAATTGGGGACGCGAGTTCATATTAACTCAACTCTCCATAAATACCATGTAGCCAAACATGAGAATTAACGGGTCATTCTTTTTAGATGATCACGTAAGATTAAGCTAGTGGATCCACTAAGTTAAGTAAGGTCCTATATCACGACAAGGTATAGGATGGTCCTTAAGCAACGTGAGGTAAAACGTTGTATCATCACTAAGGCTCATAGTGGTGGTTGTCGGTTAAAGAATCTCTCATTAAAGTTATATTACTTTTATATAAGTAAAGTTGAGTTTGTTATTGCTTTGTCCTTAATGAACTAAGTTGTTTTTAATGTTTTACAAGCTTTATGTATTGCATGTGTCTTATTGCTTTACATTTGAGTTCAGTTATTCATGAGTCGGTCAGAGCTAAGGTAAGTGTTCACTTGTACTCCTTTCAAGCCTAAGTTGCAGTTTAGCTTTCCATCTCGCATACTCGTACATTCAATATTGTACTGATGTAAGTTGGCCTGCATCTTATGACGATGCAGACGCAGGTACCCAGGATCAGTATCCAGAACGCCGTTGATCCAGCTGAGCACTCCAGAGTCAGTGGTGAAACTCTTTGCATTCCGGAGGACTCAGTCATTTTGTTCTCTTAGTTTTGCTTTATTAGGATGTTGCGGGGTCTGTCCCAACATCCATCTCAGTGTTATAAAGGCTTCATAGACAGTCAGTCAGTCAGTTAGTTTTGAGTCTCTCATCTATGTATATATATAAATATTCTATTTTGAGACTCGAGTTGCCTTTTTGGCCAGATTTTATCAGTTGGGTTGTTTTATGACCTTTCATTTCATTGAGTTATTCTGTTGAGTTAGGTTTCCGCTAAGTTAAGAAAGCCAGGCCAAGGGTTCGCTTGGTGCCAGCAATGGTCTCCGAGTGTCGGTCCCGCCCAGGGTGTAGGCTCGGGGTGTGACAATAAACCTGTTAGCAATCACATAGTGTAAACGTATACTAACTCAAACTCTTTAATAAAAAAAATTAAAAAAATAAAACAATGATTAATATTATCATCATAAAAAACAACCTCTAGTTATAAGTCACAATGACCTACTAGTAATATTATTATTACAAAAAGAAACTTCTAGTCTTAAAGTCATAATTGTGCTCGACGACTTTTCATATGTTGAAAACGATAAATAATAGCATCATTGCTTATATTTGCAAATATCTTACGCTCTACATAGCAAACTAAACAACCATTCAAAAATTCATCACCAATACTATTACGAAGTTCATTTTAAATGTACTTCATGGATGAGAAAGCTCGTTCCACAGAAACAATAGCAACGGAAAGAATGAGAGTCAACTTGATAAGCAAATAAACAAGTGGCCCAGTTTGATGCAAATCTGACTTGACCAATACTTTAGCAAGATCACTAATTCCCTTCAAGTTGAAGAACCTCTTGTCAGAACCACGAGCATAAACTATAAAGCTATCAAGCTGAAAAATGAGATCCCGAAGCTTGTTGCTGTCAAACTCATTCATATAATATTCAGTCAACCTCATCATCTTGCCCTTATCAAAACTACCAAATGAATTAACTGGATTCAAACTAGCCATAACGAGAAGTAAGTCAGTACTCACAACATCAAAATGATTACTAAGCTCTTGAAGATGCAAATTAATAACAACATAAAATATTTCAAGACGCAAATGATGAGAATATGTAACATCAAGAGCTTTACGCTTTGACTTCCCAGGAAAGTAGCTAGCATCCATCTCCATAATGACTATATCATGTTTATCACAAAAAGAAGAGACATCATCCATTAATGATTCAGATTCATTATCCCTCATATTTTGTAATCTTTGCTTTGTAAAAGCAAGAAATCCCATAGCATTGACAATATCTTGATCCATCATTTGTAATGAGGAGCTCAATTCATTTGTCATCATAAGAACTTTCCACACCAAGTGCAGTATAAAGGCAAATTCAAACTTCTTAATCATATCCACAAGAGTTTTATCAAGAAGTCTATCAGTATAGTTTGGACACTCGCATCCAGTAAATTCAAGCACATGAATAACTGATGGAAATAGAAAAATAATATTATCTAATGTTCTATAATGAGAACCCCAACGAGTATCACCTGGCCGCTGAAGCCCACGTTCTTGATTTGATCGTCGCCCAGTATGCACTTCCCCTGATATGAGTAACTCCTCTAACTGTTCAGCTTGGTGTTTTCGAAGTAAATTCCTGCGCTTAAAAGATGTTCCAACAATATTTAACACATTAGTAACTAAGCAAAAAAATTCATCTACATTTGAATCCTTCTTTGCAAGAGCCACTACTAGTGTTAACTGCAATTGGTGGACAAAACAATGAATGCAATAAGCCGATGGTGTCTCATTCAAAATCAAAGTTTTAAGACCATTTAGATGTCCTTGCATATTGCTAGCTCCATCATAACCTTGTCCACGTATTTGGGATGGACTTAATGAGTGATCTGAAAGAAAAAAGTAGAATAATGAACAAGCAGATGTATCACTAACATGAATAATACCAACAAATCACTCTATCACTTCTCCTTCTTTGTTAACATATCTCAAAACAAGTGACATTTGCTTCTTGTGTAACACATCCTTTGATTCATCGACTAGTATCCCAAAATAATCTCCATCTAAATCTTCAAGAATAAATTTGAATGTTTCCTTAGCACAAGAATCAACAATATCCTTTTGAATACTTGGAGAATAGATCATTTCATTATTTGGAGCTTTTTCTAAAATAATGCTTCCAACATCTTCATTAATATCTCCATACCATTGCAAAAGTTCAAGAAAAATACCTCTATTTGAAGAAGATCGACTCTCATCATGTCCACAGAATGATAATCCTAATTTCAAGAGAAATCTTGTCATATTAACTGAAGCACTCAAGCGACGCCAAGACTCACTTTTTTTTCTTGGACTTTTTATCAAAGGAAGTGCGTATTGACTGTGATTGATTCGTCAAATCAAACATCTTGTTGAAACACTTGTTGTGGATACTATTTATATCTCCAACATGAGCTCTAAATCTTTCAATAGCTTTGTTCTAAGCTCTAAAGCCGGCCTTTGTGAAAGCAGCATCAACCACATCTTCAAGACTTTCACATTCATTTTTAAACAAGTAGCAACACAAACAAAACACAACATCTTTTGTTATGCTATACTCCAACCACTTACGATCATTAAACTAATCAGGAAAAAACTGCCGCATTTCCTTCCCAAACTTAGTTTTAGGAAATTTATGATCCTTAGGTTGGCAAGGCTTTTTAAGAATATAATATCTCCTAATATCATCACGTATATTAGGATTATATTCTGCAATGGCCTTTCTAATTCCCGGATCAGCTTCAAGAGATTCTAAATCAACATCTGAAATAAATGTTTTCCTTTGAATTTTTGGAGCTAGGTTGAAGCGGTAGATGGATGAGTAGAACTAGAACTTGGATGCTCAATTTTCGATCTTGTGACACACTTATCCATCTCAATTTACAAAGATAAATTTCTGCAAAAAAAAATAATCAATTTTATCATAGAATTAATTCACATAATTCAATTAATTTTTATTGAAATCTATAACTTTCTATCAACAACCCAAACAACAATTAATATATCTATTTGATCTTTCAACACCACAAGCAATAATTAGCAATATATGAGTCAATGAGCACAAAATTTTCAATTGCACAATTTGTTATTTGTATACATCCTAAAATTTAATTTTTGAATCAAGTAAGTTGGTAAGAAAAAAAATTATTTCAAAAGTATTCAAAAAATATATTTTTAATCACAAAACACTAAATATGTGAGACTCTAAAGTCTAAATCTATTTATCAAGTAACAAAAAAAGTATGTGAAATCTATTTTAAGAATTAAGACTTAAGAGTACTAGCCATAAGCAATGAAAATCTCAAAACCTAATTTCCCAAACCCTTTTTTTCATTATCTAATTTTAATCAAATATCAAATCTTATTACCTTGCTTTTGTATTTTGATTTTGAAAAGAAAAAAGCTTGAAGTTTGTTGTTGGGCTAGCTGCTTTCTCTTTGAAACAAGAAGAAGAAGAAGAATGATTTCGTCGTTTTGTTAAAAGAAAAAATCCCATAAAAGTGGGCAGTGGAAAAGGTTTTAAAGCATAGGAAAAGTTAAAAATAAAAAAGAAAGAAAAAGTTAGTACTCACCCTAAACTAATTAAGAGTAGGAAAAGTCAAAACAGGTACAAAATTCGGAGTAAAATAAGCCCTTAATTAAAAAAAGAAAAAGTAAAAAAAAAGGTGCAAAATTCGCTGGAAAAAGTAAAAAAAATAAAAATAAGGCTGACGAGATTCAAACCCTCACCCGAATGCTTCATGGGCGTTATATTTCAATCGTTAACCAGCACACCCACAACTGCTTTTCTTCTATGGGTGCTTATTTATCTTTAATAACGTATTTATCATATTTTCTATATATATATACAAATTTTTTTCCGGAGTCAATGGGTGCTCAAGCACCCGATACTGACTACGTAGGTCCGCCCCTACATACAAGTGATCCTCACAATTAGAGAGGTTGTATATATTCTCTAAAATTCTCCTTATCTCAGCCTCAAAGTGATAGTGTATTCCAAGTCTCTGTAAATTATCAACAAGCTCAAGTTGATCTAATGCTCTCATATCTTTATCATTAAGCATCATCCTCACATTTCTTTGAGCTTTGCTGCTTGCTTTGAGTATTCTTCTCCCTGTCACATATATCATAAGTTAATAACTAACAATGTTAAAGAATTTATTTTCAGGTACGAATAAAATTGCATATACACCACCCTTTCAAATTATATTTGTGAGATTACACCACATGTATTAAAAAATTTCGATTGCTTAATTTTACCACATAAATGCTAGCTTGTGATTGCACAAAGTCATCATCCCAAATTCTTGGTCCATAGTTCCCTGGCCTCCTTGCTTCCATTTTTGAACAAATTAAATACTTCTGAAAAACAAGAAATATCTTTGAGTTGCACTATGTGTTAATTACGGCCTTACTTATAGACCTTGTTGGTAAAATTATATTCTCTATCTTCACTTTTACTTGTCACTACACACGCCTATTAAAAATTAATGATTGACATGACTATTTTACCACATAGACCTTATTAATTAGTATTAAGTAATTAAGTTTGGAACCTTATTAATTGGTATTAAGTAATTAGGTTTGGAAAATGATTTGGAGAATAAATAATTAATTTTGAGGGTAAAACATGAAAAAATTTGATGTATTAAAAGTGACAAGTAAAAATAAAAAAAAATATTTTTGACATAGGGGACAAGTAAAATTGAACATATATATATATATATCACACAATTACTATGTTCTGTTTCAATTTATATGACTCGCTTTCTTTTTAGTCAATCTCAAAAGAATACCACATTCATAAATCTGATAATAATTTAACTTTAAAATATTTATTTTACCCTTAATGAAATAATTTATTTTATAACACAAGTTTCAAAAAGCTTTTTTTCTTTAACTTTATTCCAAGTTATACTAAATGACATAAAGTCAAATAGAGGGAGTAATTCATTTGACACCCTTTATGGGTGAGATGTGGACAAGTGTCCATCAACTTAGTCTAAAAAAGTGTGTGACAAATGGTCATACAAGTGTGTGACGCCCCACAACTTCTAAGAATTTTTTTTAATTATCCTCTGTACGCGTATATGTTTGAATTCGGTAATTTTTAAGTTGTACATGCATATTGAGTTCCTTTACAAAGGCTCAACCAAAAAAAAGAACTGCCGATCTAGGGTTTGACTCCTACATAGGCAGCAGCGCAGCTATCATGGCTGCTACGGCCACTGGACGGACTCCTTTCGAGGCTGTCCAGCCCGCCCCACCACCCCAAACCACCACCCTTTTCAATTTCAATACTATAAATCATAAACAATCTGCCCTAATTAACTCAAAAACAATCGTAAAATCAATCGAAATAATTTATGGAGAACCTACTATCACGTTTTCAATGGAGGAAAGGCAAGACTTTATGATCGAAGAGGGATTACATCAAGCAGTGGTGTTTAAATTATCCCATGGTGCGCCAGATTTGAAGGTATTAAGGTCAATTTTATCGAAACATCTTGGTACCAAGGGCAATTGTTTAATTGGCTTAGTTGCTGCAAGACAAATTTTGGTGAGGTTTGATCAATATGAAGATTATGTACTAGTTTTATCTCGCTCAATTAATTATCTTCTCTACAATGGAGAGGAGCACCAATGTAGGATTTTTCCATGGTCCATTGAATATAACCCTAAGGAGAAAACGACGTTAGCTGTGCTTTGGATTTCTTTACCGAACTTATCAACAGATTTGTTTGCAAAGAAGTCTTTGTTGTCTATAGCATCAGCAGTTGGGAAACCAATAGCTATAGATAAATCTACTCAAATCAAGTCAAGACCTAGCACGACTAGGATCAAGGTAATACTTGATCTAGTGGAAAAGCTTCTAAATCGTATAAGATTGAAGTTTGTGGATGGAAAATCTGGTAAGTTGATCGAGGATTTTCAGGAGATTGTATATGATAATCTATCTTTGTATTGTAATTATTGTAAGCACCAAGGTCATGATGAAGATAGTTGTCGTTTGATCTCGAAAAGAAATCAAAATAACAAACAAATTGATGATACCATTGAAGTTGCTTTAATAGGTACTACCGTTAGTGAAAAGTATCAAGGTGATGCGAGAGAAATACTAAATGAAAAAAGAAAGATTGTAGATGTCAATCAAAGTAAAACTACTTATTTAGATCGACAATTGGTTGCTGCCACATCTGAGCAAAATCGTGCAGACTCAATGAAAGTTGATATAAGTAATATTGATGTTCAAACAACTACCGAAAATAAAGATGATTGCAATAACCAACATGCTGCTACTAATGAGGTGAAATCAAAAGAAGTTGGGATGAATTTGATGTCTAATGCAACTAAAAACGCAGGGGAAACACCAAGAGTTAGGGTTGATGCGCCGCGAGTTGGTTCAGGGCAAAAATTAATGGATTCAGGACAAAAACTAATGGATACATCTGATGTTGAAGATGCTGAAATTTCTCGGCAGCATGTTTTGCAAGTTGAAAATGAGAATGCAACTGAAAACTGGAGAGTGGTTGCACACAAAACATCAACTAGTAGTCGGGTCCTTTCCCCGACTAGTCAAAATAATTCTCCATGTAGTGAAAAGGGTCCAACTGGAAATTTTCATGACAGTGAGAAGAGGCAAGATATTAGTAATGCCTCAAGAGACCTATTATGTTTGAATAGTTTTGATACTTTATTAAAGACTTCTGGAAAGCAAGTAAGGTTAACAGAGAATGACAACGATTTGATCCAAGAAAATCAGGTCTCACCACCTGCTTTGAATAGCAAATTAAGTCCAGAAGAATTCGTATTTGTGCCTAAATGTGTGCTTGCAAAGAAGAATGAGCCAAGGGCCTTAGTGTCAAATACAATTGATTTGGGTGAGGATTATCTTGATGAAGATGAGGAAGAAAATATGCTGGACATATGCTTTGATAGAGTGGATAGGGAAGGGGATATATCACCTAGGCAACAAAGAAGTGGAAGCAACAAAAGCAAAAAGAAGACACATGGAAGACAACATAGTTGGAGCGGTAAAATGACTGAGGAGTTTGTTCCAAGGCACCTACCGATGCGACAGGCAATGCAAAACCATTTGATAGTATCAATAGGTTCAACTAGAACCAATAAATTCATAAAGAAGATATGAATTATCAAGTGTTGTTGGATTTTGAAGAAGAATACAAGAGAAAATACTTCAAGTTACTTTTGATGGGCAATCAATCTTTTTTAATTCATGCTTTTGTAATAGAAATTTTGAGGTTGATAACTCAACTTTCTTCTTGATTGACATTTTTTTACATTATTTAAGCATCCTCATTTGTAATATCATCATGGAGTGTATTACAAACTATGTGATGATCAGAAAATACTTAGTTCTCTCTAGCTCTTATTTTCTTTATGCTTGTTAAGTAGCAGAAGTTAGGTACTTCATTAGGATTAGTAATGTAAGACCTATCCCCCCTTGCTTGTACTTGTTCTTATTGATATTTTTTTATGTTTAATAAAAGGCCGCTAGACACTGTCTAGTGGTAAATTTACTTTTTTTTAAACAAAAGTTCATTTTACAATGTATAGTACGTGTATCAGATGTTGTTTAGGGTCATAAAGTATCTCAATACCAAGCTAAGTTCAAAATATTTTTATCGGCCAAGTTTTTCACACGAGTTCAAACAACCATATCTTTTAAAATATGAAGATTTAGAAGGCCCATGAACTAACACCCCGACTATTTCAAAACGTCTAAATTAACTCGTACCTTCGTGGAAAGACAAAGAGGGTGAGTAATAAATAAAAAAGGATGTGGTATGTCATATTTTAAGTGTTCAAGGGTTTTATCTCAAGTTTTGAAGTTAAGTAAGTGGCATAATAAAAGTTATCGTAAGTTCCTTTTTAAAGATTTCTTTGAAATTTGGGTCAAATGTATTGGATGTTTTCTCCCAATATATAAAGAGTTAGAAGGCCTATTACCCATTAAATCGAAGGCCTACGAGTCTAGTTTGCAACGCAAAAAACTCCGTATCAAATGGACATCCGAGTAAAAAGTTATGAGGGTTTTACTAGGGACTGTCAGGGCAGAATCCGGGTCGGATCCGGGTCGAGTAAAGAAATATGGTATGTCTGCTATTTAACGTTTTTAGCCATGGAAACAGTTCATTTCAGTTCCAAAACCAGAAAAAAAGCTTAGGAGAGGGTTCCTATGGAGTCCTAGCATGATGAAGGTTAGTTTTGACGATTTCTACCATTAAGCATTGCCCCCGTGCCTAGAAACGTAATCCCTACACTTGGCAATCGTTTTCCCTTCTATTTGCTACGTTTGGAGCTGGTTTTTAAAGATATAAATTTGTAACTATTGGTGTTTCTTCAAGGTTTTAACTTGGTTAACTAAGGTAATCATCTCGGGACTCTTTTATGATTGTTTTTATGAATTTCTACGGACGTTTCAACAAGTTGGGGCAATAAGGCAAATCTGCCGATATAAGATTAATTATAAACTGTTTATAGGTGCGTACCAGCTGTGTATATATAGTGTTTGCGAAGCTTAGGACATAAGGAACAACTTTCGTGAAGGAACTACAGTTTTTCGAGCGTTCATTGGAAAGGTATGTTAAGGCTATTCCCTACTTACGACATGCTTCCTTAAAGTTTAGAAGCAATGTATTTGGGTTGTTATCATTGATATATTGTTGGCTGCTCGAGTTGATATAATCCTCCCTTGTCGAGATTCTTATTCAGTTAGTAGCGTCCCTATGTTGGACACGACTTAAGAGGCTATTTGTATAGGTTGTTTATAACTAAATTGCTCGCTTTTAGCGGTTGGATTGTTATTATTGTCGTTGGGGCTATCGTGGTTAGCTGCAGGAATGTGATATATGCCTAAGAAGGGCTATGTTCTGCCTACAGGGCTATATGGATGCCTAACAGGGCTATGAGTTGCCTACAGGGCTATATTGACGCCTAAGAAGTCTATGTTCTTCCTACAGGGCCATGTTGTTGCCTAAAAGGGCTATGAGTTGTCTATAAGCTACGTTGATGCCTAAAGGAGCTATGTGCTACCTAAGGGGCTATATTAATGTCTAAGAGGGCTATGTGACTGCCTACGGGGCTAGGGAACTACTGATAGGGGTATATAGGCTGATTGGCACCTTCCGGGCTTATGGGGGCCTGAGTAGGTGGTCTTGTGTGCTGTTTGTACCTGCCGAGCTTATGGGGGCTTGGTTAGGTTGTTGTTTTATTATTTTTAATAAGTTTAGATTTAGGAGCAGGTCAGTACACTTATCTTAGCCTTGATTTATTTATTGGATTATTCCAGTATATCAGAATACCACATCATAGTCTATTGTCTTTCACACTCTCTACATTTTTTTGTACTGACGCCCCATGGCCTTGGGGGCGCTGCATTCATGCATGCAGGTCCTGACAGACGACTGGGTAGACCTCCTCAGCAGCAGGATTGACTTTTATCCGATTGGCTAGCCCCTTTCCTCCGGAGCTGCCAGAGTTGGGAGGTTTGTTACATTTTGTTGTATATATCTTTATGGGTAGGCTAGGGCCCTGTCCCACCAATCTTTACTACTCTTAGAGGCTTGCAGACTAGTGTGTGGGGTTTATAGCTACGTTATGGCCATGCTAGCCTATGTTGTTGGTTTGCGGAAGCTTGTGAGCTGTTTGATGTATTGTATTGATATATACCTGCTTTTAGTTTTGGTATAGATATCATGGTGGCCTCGACGGCCCAATTAGGACTTCTATGCTAGTTGACTATTTATTTATATGATCTCCTGGGAGTAGCTGTTTCTTTTATAGATTAGTTGACAGGGGCCTTGCCGGCCGATTGCTTAGTTTTAAGCCGAGATATACTTGTTTGATTTCTTCATTATGTGTGGCTGCCATGCGCTAGTAGCAAATGGTTCAGCAGGGTCGGCTCGGGCCTGAGTTTTGGCATTAGAAGCCAATTGCGCCTCTCGAGTTTGGGGCGTGACATTTTTGGTAGCTTTTTCCGAAGTGGTACAAAAGATACCATGACACTACCCTAATTTTTTTGTGTCTTTCTCCAATTTGATTAATTTTTTAAAAAAAAATTAATTAATTCAATTGAGTATTTAAAATATCATTTAGATATTCATAAATTCTACAAAAGTACTCTTCATCTCATATTAATATGGTAATAAAATATATCTTAAACATTCACTAAAGTTCATGTAATTTGACTCTTAAAATTAAAACATGACAATTATTTATATATTTAAAATAAATCACTACCACCCAACATTCATGAAAATTTTATTCTTACACTTCCTATGAGATAATGTCTATAACTAAGCATATTAAACGTAGACAAAGTTTAAATTATACTTGCAAAGTTTTTATAAATAAATAATTGAAAATATAAATAAATTTATAAGTTTAAAGTGGAAGAAAGTTATAATCAATAATTGATAGTATATCTTATTAGGTATTTGTGGTATTTTTAATTTTAATTTATATTTTAACATACTTAATTATATATTTGCAAATAAATATCATTTAATAACTTACTATATATAGAGAAATTATGTCATTATTAACGCTTGTAAAAAATATCAATTGGATATACAAGTAAATTTTATTTATTTTTTATTTAATATAATTTTATCAATGAAGGGTAATTAAACTTCACATTAATAATGTATATCATCAAATTTTTCTCTACTTTAATATAATGCTTGCCTTATTCAATAATACACAATTTAATATAACTAATATTAAATCAAATTTAATCACATTTATGATAGTTATTTTTCTACTAGGTAAATAACTAGTCATATAATTTTAATTTTTTCTATCTTTTAAATTGAAAAAAAAAAAAACAAGAAAAAAACCGCATCATTGGTTTTGTGTGATAAGTTAAAAATAATCAAAATGACATTTGTAATAATGTTCCAACACCGTATTAAATTCATATTATTGTATAATAATTTATTTAATCTAAAAGTAGAGTAAATATTTAACAATAAAATTCATTCTAATGTCATTGATATTTTTTATATTATTGTAATTTTTTATTTGGTTAAATATATTTTAAAGAAAATATTCCTTGAAGTTTTCAAATAAAACAAGTTCTTAGATTTAAAAAAAAACCTTCAAGTTAAGTTATATTTAAAAAAGTTCGCATTCCTCAAAAAATCTCCAATCGAATTCACAATAATAAAATCCCCAAGTAATTCTACAAGTAAAAAAATTCCCGGGTAAATCCTCAAGAAATAAACTCCCAACAAAATTTGTAGAACATAAATCCTTAGGTAATACCACATATGAAATTATTTAAAAATATTTTTCTAAGTAATTATTTCTAACTGGATCGGCAAATAAGTTTATTTAGCAATTTTCTTTCAAACAAATTAATAAATAGTTTTCTTTTCAGCGAATTTACCTATGAAAATGGTACTTGAAAATTATTTTCCCCAAATAATTCCCTAGGTAATAATTTTGCGAAAATGGCACCAAATTTACCTACCAATTTTTCTGGGGAAATGTTTTTCGTAGGTAAAAAAATCCAGAATTTAGGAATTTCTTAATTTCGCATGAAAATTCATAGGAAATTTCTGCAAAAATAATCCCCAAGTAAAATCTCGAGGTAATTTACAGTTTTCTAGTAGTGGATAATGAAATGGTCTACAAAATTCAAATCAAATGGCCCCTGTTTGGATTAACTTACCAGACTTGTCATGGCATTTCTACGAGTGGGATGCAATATGTAGAATTGTTGAACCACCTTGTTGTTAGACAAAGGTGTCATCTCTAAAACAAGGCCTACTACTGCCAAAGTGAGAGTCGAAATAGATTTGTCAAAACCTCTGATAAAGGAAGTGATTCTCGAGATTACTAACAATGATGGCATGACTGAGATGATCAACCAAAGAGTTGAGTACGAGACCATTCCTGCCTTCTACTCACATTGCAAAATGCAAGGTCACACTGCTGATAAATGCCAAAAACTTCATCCTACTTTAAATAAGGAAGCAGAAAATGTATATAAAGATCATCGGAAGGAGCAATAAACCAAAACGAGTGAAAACATCAATCATATCCAAAGCTGGTGGAACACCCACCTCAAGTCACTAGAAAGTTCAACGACGAAAAAGAGGGGGAAGAAGAATGGCAAACAGT